ATATACTTGTAGAACTCTTCCTGTGAGAAATGTGATGAAATAGACTGCCCAGTCACCTTTGTCACATTTTTGACTTTGGGTGAATCTTTCAAATCTCTCCAAGAAAGCATCCATACCATCTTTCGGTTCATCCAATTTGGACAACTTGGGTTGGCTGACACTGGCCCCATTGTTATTCTTGGGTCCTTCTTCTTTCTATTGAGTGAGCTTGGTGATCTCAATTTGTGCTCTTATTCAAGTTCTAGTCTCTATCTTCTCTCTCCTTTCCTTCTTTCTCAATTTGTGTTCTTATTCTCTCTATATATATATATTTCTTGTTCTTCTTTTAGTGATTCTTCCTGTCTTCACTGTCTCTCCTCCTCTCTCTTCTGTTGCTACTCTTCTCTCTCTCTAGTTCTTGTTGCTGTTGTTGTTTAACAAACTCTCATAGTTTGCCATCTTTTAGTCCAAGACACTCACCTCTTTCTATCCCTTTATCAAAATCTGTTGATATCATTATATAGCATGACTGTAATCTCTACACTATTTTTGCCACCACTACAGTTGTGCCAAATTCCTCTGTATAATCCTGGCTGGCTCGCCAAATGTCGGGTTCTATAGAGCCAGATTATTTACAGTAGATGTCTGTGACTTGTTGGCAATACATTTCAATGTGGCCAGCACATAATCTACTTGTTTTAAAATAATATATATATTCAAAACAAGTCAAATGTATGTACACAAATTTGTTACACTATTGTTTACCATAGTTGAATCTAGAGCTTCAAATAATTCTCTTTTTCGTCAAAAGTCCACACAGGCCAGCTCAATTACTTTAGGGCCCAATTGACAAGACGAATTATTTTTCTGCATCTCTGTTGTTACAATACAAGCTGTAAGACTCACTTCCAAATCACCACTATAACTATTGGTTACCACAGTTGTATCCAGAGTTATAAATATTTTGTCAAAGTCCACATAGGGGATTCAACTACTTTAGAACTACATTTGACAGGACAAATTCTTCTTTATCTCTGTTATTACAATACAAACTGTGAAATTCTCACTTTATAAATTGCCTGTTATGGCTAAACTGACAATAATGCAGTCTAACTTCACTTTCTTCCTCTCTATATGTGCACATATTTATAACACACAACAGAAAAATCTACAAATATCTAGACCTCTAGTAGCAACAATATTATGCATAACGAGAAAATCTTAGAAGCTTTTAGTAAGATGATGTCAACAATATTACAAAAGCCTAGTACAACAATTAATCATCATGCACAATGAGTGACTTGTACAAAGTTAAGTAACGAAACTTGTCATAATGATCACTTTTAAAATAGTTAACTTTTAACACTCTTGTTATGAACACTAAATAATCAATAAATATTTAAATCACTAAATAAACTAAATAATAACTCTTAAACTAAACAGTATTGTATATCCAACACTGTCTCCCTGTCTTCTTGTCACTTCTGTTGTCATGTCATTGTTGCATTGTAGAAAAAGCATGAATTTATCTTTTTATCAGTCCACTTCACAGCAGCCAATAAGCCACAGCTAAAAACTGCGACTCTCCAATTTTTAATTTACTTGAGACCATATCTGGGAAATGGGTCCTGTCCTCCCAACAAGTACCACAAGCATAAAGAAAGAATGTTACCTTCTAAGATACTTTTCCATCAGAGTTGTTACAACTGTGTCAGCTAAGCTCTTGGAAGATACAAATCCCTTTTTATCAGAATATACTCTAAACTTTACATAGTATACAGTCATGGCTTTTCCCAGAATCCACAATTTGATCCCACACTTGGTAGGCTTGTTATGTAGACATTGTTTAAAGGAAATCCTACTCTTTATTTCCAGGATTTGTTCATCGATAAATAGTTCCCTAGAAGGGTTATAGTGAGCTGGAAAAACTGTTAATTTATGATTAAGCATGGGCCTGACTTTGAAGAGTTTATCATGCTTAGCATTAGCTTTAGGTAGTTTATTAACATTGTCATTGAAATGCAGAAAACAAATGAAAGGAAATTATACTAAAAGAAAACTCGGGTAGATGAAGTGAAGGAATGGTAAACCAGTAATCTCTAAGAGATGGGAAATGCGGTATGCTCATATCAATAGTAACACCAAGAAAATTACTTCAGCAGTAACTTCACAGTATTTTAGCATTTTTCTTTTCTTTCTGGCATTGATGTTTTGGTGTTCCCCTTGCTGGTGAGCAAATATATTTGTTTCTTCAGCAATTTTGGTAACAATGTTGTTACAAAAAAGAAAAGAGTTGAAAGTAGGGTATGACACCTGCTAACTTGACAGGGCACAGGCTCTCCACGGATGACATCCCTCAACAATATGGGCTGCTCTTCTTTGAGGGGCCCCCATTACCAATCTATACCACAGGCCAGAGAGTTTTGTTGTGTCTTCTTTCCTCTGGCCATTTTGGAAGTTCATGGGAGGACTAGTAACAGTATCCTCAGATTGTTTTGGGTCATGAGGAGTCTTCTTCCCATGATGGTAGGTCAACAGTCAATTTATTAAGGTTGATTCATCTGGATTCACATGAGTTGATCTGATGTCTTCCTCCTCTGACTCGGCAAAAAGAAAGGAAGCAAACAAGGAGCAATGCTTCATCCACAGAAAGCTCATTCTTTTTCTTGAGTGAATCCATTAGATCTTCAGAGGTCATCTAGGAAAATTTTAATGTATGTTATTAATATTCTGTTCACATGATTTATAAAGCAACATGATATGCATATACATATGAACTATTGCTTATATTTTCATCAATATGCTTAAACTTAAACATTCTAAGAACACATGCTCTTAACAAATTCTGATAACAACAACAACAGTTTACTGTTAAATATATTTTTCAGGGTTAAAAGTAGAACTTTATAGTTTGTTAGAACAGCAGCATACATACTATACAAATATCGTCTAAAATATTAACTGTAGTAAGTAATATCTAAACCAAAAATATCCATAATACTTGGATGCTTACACTGTGTAGCAAAAACTAGAATGTTATTACAAAATGTAAACCAAGTTTTAGAAATTGAAAATAATCTTACCTTACTATACACTGTTAGAAAACTCAATACAATAAAACTATATGAAATTATGTTCTCTCTGTAGAATAAAATATTTTATTATTTATTACTATCCTGGAGACTTGATATACATGAGAAAGGAATATTTTGTGTAAGTGCCAGGTAGAACTCGTAAATATAAACAATTTATTCAATTTATATGTAAAACTGTAACTGCTTTTTACATTATATCACACTTTACTGTTAGCTATCACAAAATACACAGAAAACTAACTGTAATGAAAGAATCTTATCTAAATTTTGTAATCAAAATAACATCTGTGAATATTTTTGAAAAATGTGTTATTTCCATTTCTTCATAAAAACACATCTTACCTTAACTGAGTTTCAAGTGCTCAGATCTGTGGACAACAGACTCTTCTCTGTGCAACAGGCTTTTTTGTAGCAACTAAACTGAGTTCTTGTTCACTTGGAAGCCTGGATGTATTTGAAACTTAGACTAAACACATTAACATCAAAAAGAAAAAAAAAGAGTTGAAGCATGGAAAGGCACCTGACAGAACATGTAGACTATGCATTCCTACAGCAGGATTGGAAATGCATAAAAAGAAAGCTTCAGTTTCCAATTCCAATATTTCTTGCCTTAAGACTGTTATAATGAGCAGTATGTGATCTAAATTAATGTTGCTAGTTGCTGTAAAATCGCTTCCTTTGTCAGTTATATGGTTTACTCTGATGAACTCTTACAGTATATATCATGTTGTCAGAACACAGGCTGACATTATTGAGAATTCTGTACTGTGACTTTGAAATATGTTCACTATACTATAGTACTGGTAGTAGCAAAGTAGTACTTTGCATCGTGAAGCTGCATATTAGATTACTTGCTAAAATAAATTTGTTTGAAAGGTCAAGTAAAAAATTGTATTCAAGTACCATAGCACATAAGAGCACACAAGCACTTTTCTTACTATCATTCCTTCAGTAATGTTCAAATCTGCCCATGCCGAGTCAGTGAGAAAGATGTTCTACATACATTGCCAGCAATTGAACACTCACTTATTCATGCTGTTGATATGGTTGTTTTATCGGTTCAATAGATCTATTTAGGGTACATTGAAATACAAATTTGAAACAAAGGTAAATAAACTTATGAAACAAGTTTAAAATTTGTTGAATATGTGCACATGAAATAATAATTAGGAATAAAAAATGCAGACATGCTTATTTTTTGGTTTGGTTAGAAATATTACTTTTGTTCTTATATAATAATTGTAAGCATAAGAAAAGTATGTGATTAAAAAAACTGAAAATTTACACTTTATGGAATTATAAAACATGTTATTAGAGATCCTTAGAATAATGTACTAAAACATAAAAGTTGCAGTTCAAATCTGGAAAAAGTGTAAATATTTTAATTATTTCTTACAAAAACCATTTTCTAATGTCATTTCCCAAGATTTTAAAGATGATAATGTATTGTTACGACAGCGGAAGTCACATGATGCTAGTAACACGTCATGATATTCTAGAAGGATCATGTCTGTTCATGGCAATTCTGGTCTTTTCTAGGTGCCCTCTATTCTTGTATATAAGTGCACCAGATAAAGCGAAATTAATTAATCAGAAGAAGAGAATTGCAGACAGACAGAGACGGACAATTGAGTCAAGCGCAGTAGTGACCCTAAGTAAAGTGTGTGAATCGTTGTGAATTATAGCATGTGTTGAAGTTAAAGTGACGGTGGAAATTAAGTGTATTGCAAAGTTGCGTTGAGAAAGAATAAACTAGTTTTATTTAAGAAAGGACTTGTATCGCTGAAGTTTATCGGGAAGAATTTCTACGGAAAATTAACAAACGAACACAGAGACGTAACAGTATAAAAACTAAATAAATCAAAATTAAAATATAGTGTTTTTGAGAAACTACATGCCTTTAGAAAGGTTCCTGTCAACTTTCAATCATTTTCATCAATTAGTTTTATTTTTGGAATGAAATGTAACAAGAACTACCTAACTTGCTTCAAAATGAAGTTCCCAGTCTGATAGAGTTAAAAAATATAAAGTCGCATAGGTACACAAGGTAACATCAGTAATTAATAGATTGTAGACTAACCTTGATGACATGCCTCTAAGTTTGTGTGAATTATATTTTTAATTTCTCCAAACCTATAAACCATTAAACTCAACCTCAAAATGTGACTGTTGAACCTTTTCTTATGAATCATTTGATGGGCAGAGATTTGTTCAAATATCAGAATCATAAATATAGTTTCCTTTTACTACTAGCAACAAACAGTCTTTATTCTTGGCAAATGAAGGTTAATGACCTTTAATATCAGTATGTATTATATTATGTCATAGTGCTATCTGGCAGCTCATTGATGAAACAATAATACACTAATTAGTATTAATAATAATACTTTAAAATTGTTGCTCAAGAGTTCTTTGAATCATAAATAAACATTTTATTAAAATGTTTTTCTATTTAACTAATACAAGGATCACATGTATTTCAGACAAACTTACCTCAGGAATGGCAATAAACTGTTACTACCTGTTTAATAAATGTTGTTTGAGTAAAAATGGAAATCTGATATAATGTACTTAAGTTACACTCTAACAACAGAGGTGACTTACTATACAAATACAAGAAAAATGTTAATAACACAAATCACTGGATGGTAACTTAATATATTTAACTACAGCTTATAATTATAATCAGTGAAAACACATTTGATTTTTAAAGTTACAGGATGGGTATGTATATTTTGTACAGTTTAATCGTAGTTTGTAATCCCATTTTCACTATAGAGACACTTTTTCCAGTACTTCACTGCCATGGCTTGTGGCGTAATTACTGCTACCAATTTTCCATTTTCTTTATTTTGCTTGTTTCTTACTTAATGAGCATCAAACCAGTATCTTATCTGTGACAAATGTGCTCCAAACTAACTGCTTTTCCTTTACAAGAAAAGAAGCTATTTTGAAAGCAACCCTTAGATGGAAGGTACAGATAATATGGAACTTCTTGTTTCTCTTCCATCTGGGAAACCTTAAAAATAAAATAATGTAGTGACTAATTTTATTATTTTTGTTAAAAGCAATCTTACAAACAATCAGAAAGATTTCAACATTTTTATTTTATTTTATAAAGGATACTTGTGTTATGACTATAGTACAGTGCTTTGTCTTTTAAAAATGTACTTAAAATTGCAGAATCTGTCACTACTAACTATACAAAACACTCTAGATCTGCTAATATTTCTGTATAAAATGTATGTAAGAACATCAACTAAACGATAATTGCAGCATTGTATAAAACAAAGCCTTGTACTTACTGTGACATTTTTCATTTTACAGTATATGAATGCAGTTTTTCTTTTTTCTTATGTAAAATTCAGTATATTTGTAACAAACAACACCAGTCTAGTTACTTTAGCAGACACTTACTCAGAATTAGAAATATTATTCAAAAATGGACATTTCCAAATATTTTCTTCTTTAGACAAATTGAAAAGGGTTGTACATTAACATTATGCTATACTAAACACTTCTAGTATTAAATGCTTTTAAATCAATGGTAAAATGATTCCTTTTAAATTAAAATAGATTTTTTCATTGAAACAGCTCACAGCATTTATCTATTCCCTATTGACATATGAGATTGATGAAACAGTTTGTGAACCCAAGCAGAATCAATTCATTGATGTTAGACTAGCTGTATTTTGAAAGGCTAGTACAGAATGAAGATAATCAAAATAATTCTAAACAAACATTGCCAGCACTATTTTGAATCATGCGACACTCAACTATCAAAGTAACACCAACTGATATTCTTCCTTGCCAAGTAAATCAATATTTAAAGTTAACTATACTAGTTCATATTCGGGATTAGAGTTAACTACATAGGAACCAGATTTAAACATATAAGCAAGTACTGCAAAATAGGTTTTACAAAGAACAGTATCCAGCCTATAAAGCTCAGTTTTGACTGAACAAAAGCCAACTAGAATTGTGAAAGTAATTGTAATTTTGAAACTTTGTATTTTAATTTTTCTATTGTAAACATGGAATATAGAAATAGCTTGACACTAAGTATAACATCAAAACATACCCTCAGACACAAAGATCTGAAGCAAACATAGAAATGATCAGATTTGAACAGTAAACTTCATAAAAGTCAGAGATTTTTTCATCCATTTTCAAAGACTACCATGAGGTATGCATGTAAATTTCATTTGCTATTGAATCATAAAATGAAAATACTTAAGGGTTTATAGCATTTGTCCACTTGAGTTACAAAAGGAACCAGAAATTGTTGGAAAGCAAGTGTTAAATAACATTCAATACTTTGAGTTACTCTTGTGTTTTGAATGGCTTTAATTAACACTTTTAGATAATAAATTGAACAATCGGCAAGTTTTTTAATATTATTTTATTAAAAAAATGATGACATCTTGAGCTAGTGCTATTCATCAGATTGTACAGTTTACAATAAAAAAGATATAAACTTGGCAATTGTTCAACCTATTATTTTTGTCACCTATGGAGTTTTAACTATATTTGTCTTTAATTGACATTTTGACAACTGTTACACTACAATGATGGAATTAATCAAAGTACATATTGTTCATCAAATATTTTATACCTGCACAGAAATTACTTTCCTGTTTTTTAATACTTTGAAACAAATTATATCAAAATATTTCCAACAAATACTGTCTCCTAGTTTTAGTTCATATTTAGTTTTAGATCATATTTTCACTTGTCAGAACTTTAATATTTTTTATCTATAAAAGTGACTGAAAAGGAGCAGATTCAACAGAGACTTTAATAATGTCAAAATATTATAATATTGTGATAGCTGGGAAGTATGAATAGTCTGATGAAACAACTGATTTTCTAGAAACAGCTAGTTGGTTCAGTTCATAATTGCATTTCTTTGTCATCCATTAATTGGCCTTCAGATGGAATTTCCAAAGATACAATTACTGAAGTTTTATAATAATAGCAAGTATAAAAATATGTCAAGGACAAATTTAATGTAAAAAAATCATATAATAAATTATTATGAAGAACTCTTGTAAATTACACTTCTTAACAGAAAAAACAGCAATTCACTCTAGTTTTTAAATGTTTGCTTCGGTCAGGTTGCTATACAAATCTAACAAAAGTTTTAAATACAATACAAATTTCTTGCAAGTTTCACTTAACTGTAATAACATTTCACCTTATCAGCATGTGCTGTGTACTCCCACCTTCATGGATCCAATGAAAAAAGAAGTTGAAGAAGAGGATGGGGAGGGAGTAGAAAACCACTCAGAACGGGTCCTCATACGAGCTATATGCTTTTCATGAACCTGCAGCAGGAAAGAAACAGATTTGGTGCTCTCAGCATGACAATTCACAGCTTTGAGTTCATTCAAACTGAGGCTGTTGGAGCAAGCAGGGAAAGAAGGAGAACCAGCCTGTAAAAGGTTAGGACAAGTAATGTAGACATTTTGGATATATATACTGAAGATAAATTTCAAAACCTTTCTGGTACCAGAACACTTAAATTTCTGTAACAAAAACATGAAATACACAAGTCACACACTTATTGTACCTGTGTCACAGTTCAAAGAATTCAATGTTTCACTATTCCATAACTAATAAAGAATATATCTTTATTCAGGTGTATCCTGGTAAATGTTTCCAATTTTCATGCAGGTGTTTTGCATTTTCATAGTTGGAATCCTTGTGAAAAAGATGTAATACATTTTAAATGTATTCTAATCCTCTAGCTTAGAGAAATTTTATCACAATGGTCATTCTGCAAAGGCTTATAATATTTATTTGATTTTGTTTCTGTATCACTACATGCTTCCTGGCTCCCTAAGGAGCTTTAAAGGAGTGGTACAGAAATATGTACAAGTTAGTAGGAGTTGGGAGCTTTATCTCCTTTGAGTATTTATGGAAATTATTGTTGATGTTGTTAATCTAGAAATGTAGCATATCACATTAGGAGCTTTAATCTTTCCTAACAATGTGATAAAGCATTATTCTGGCTCTTGTCATGATCTTGTGTATGTGTACTTCCAACCTGCTTCAGTATCCAAAAATTAGTCATTTACAGGAAATTGAAGCCAGCAGTCTATGTGAACCCCCAATAACATATTCTGTTGTTTTATGAAAAATAATTTTTTTTACTCATTCACTGTATTTGCATCTTTTCCTTTGCTGCTGTTGTTTGACTTATTCTCACTTTAACTTATCCTAAAGACCACTGTGTATTGCAAACATTTGATACATACCTGTTAAATATATGTGTAACAGAAAGTTATTAAGTTACATGTTGGTGCTGTGATAAATAATTTATTTCTATAGAGTTTATGTTGAACATGAAATCTTTGTTCCATTTGAAGGGCATTTTCTAGGACCACATAACATTAACGATAGAGAGGAAGCTGCAATTGAGGTAAGGACACAATCCAAGAGTACATGTAAAGTTTAGAAAAGGACTAACCATGAACCAAAAGCATTCACCAGCCATGGTAAGAGTTATGTAAACATTCTTGATCCATCCTTAAGAAGTTGAGAGGTGGTTAGAAACACTAGCTTTTTATTCTTATGCTCTGCTGGTTGCTACTTCCACATACAGGAATCATAGAATGGTAAAGTTGGGTCATGGAGGTGATTATTAGTCTGGATATCCCAAGACTAACTGGGTGGTCTCTATAGGACACCAAGGCACTTGTTGACCAACCCAAGCATCACCAGATGCTGGTTTAAGTCAACAGTAACTAGGGACAGAGGTTAGAAATCACCAGCAGTCAAAGCATTCAACACCAATCTATAATCCTACAAACGCTTGGAACAGCACAGATCTTTCACAACCAAGAATACACTGGTGATGTTTCAACAGCATTCAGCAACTGAGGTCAATGCATAAAGTTATATCCTGCTGATGACTTTCCCTGAGGGCACCACATTTGTCAGGATGTGCATGATTCCATACTTTTGGACACTGGTAATGTCTTAGGAATAGTAGTAGAAACAATAGTAGCAGGTACTTGTCTGCACCACTGTTTAACCTAATTCACATTATCACTATTGTGAATCACCAGTGCTTAAAAGTACAGCAAAGAGGATCTGAAATGTTTCCTCAAGTATTTTAGGCATGTTGTTGCTTGAAATGAGTTGACTTATGGACAGGTGATTCAATGTCTGATACTGACATTAAACTGTCTTGAGCTGGATGTCCTAAGGCATTGATGAGAACCAACTCAATAATTGGGACATAGTTGTCACTGAACTGTGTCACAGATTCTACACAGTGAAGAACCAAACAATCCATATGGCCAAGTTCAAAACACAAGAACTTAGATGTTTACATGAACAATCTCTGAAGATTGGTCACAAGCATGTCTTCTATTGATCTCGATCACATACTTATTGACAAGTTCATTGATGGGCTGCAGAATAACTCATGCATACCACAAGGGTCTCATGGACATTACATATCTGATATAGACAGTTTCTATATAGACATGGTTCTAAGTAGCCAGCTGGAGGTGTATAATGGAGTGGAAAAAGAAGCCAGAAGCATTGGCAAAACAATACCAATGTGGCACTAGTATACAATGAAGAGATGGAAGAAGAGGTCTAGATATTGGTCTGTACCACATTCTTCAAAGAACAGTCATAAAAAATAAAAATAAGAAGTCAAACCTGACATAACTTTCTTTGCACATCCTCACAAATACTGCTAAAGAAAGTTTGTATCTGGAACTTTTTTTTTTCTATATTATTTTGAATCTATAACTAATTTTATGTATTTAAGGAAGAAAGATAAAAAAGTAGGTTGTATTGGTTTATTCTGTGTTATTCTGGTTGAGCAACTTTTGCTGTGAAAGATGTTTCTCAGGTGCAAAAATTTCTGTGATACATTTTCCTGGTTATATTGTTTATGGCTCTATTGTATAAACATCTAACAACAACTCTGTTAACTTTAAGTGGATAATTTGATTGGTAATGCAAATATTGTTCTCCATTACTTGATTGGCCAACAAGGCTAAGAGTCTTTGAGCTTTCTTTTTTTGTGTATAAGTGTATATTTATACATTTATAAATGAACTGCTCTTAACCAATTTGTCTATTGTTAAAAATTTTCGTAGTGATTATAAGTCTATTAGTATTGTATCATTGGTGGTAAAAAGTTTTGAAAATTTTCTAAAAGATGCTTTGCAAAGTCATTTAACAAAGTTTGAAATTTTATTGGATAGTCTGCACTAGGGGAAAATACTGCCTTACTAATCTTTTGGCATTCTTTAAAGAGGCTACTGCTTATGTAGATGACAGTAAGGGTGTAAATATGATGTACTAGAAAGCACTTGATAAGATGCCATGTAAAAGGCTTGTTAAAAAAATCATCTCTATAGGTGTGAGATGTTAAGTTGGCTCATTGGATAAGAAAGAGGCTAGATGGTAGAAAGCAGACAGTTGTTATGAAATAAATGGAGTTCATATGAACTGGATTAATATCACAAGTGGGGTACCTCAGGGTGCAGTGATATAAATGAAGGAATGGCCAACATATTACTTAAAGTTACTGATAGTATTGGTGTAGCTGGCTGTGAAGAGGATACTGCTGCTTTACAAAACGATTTAGATCATTTCATGAGATGAACAAATAAATTGTAGATGGCTTTTAATTATAATAAATGCAAAGTAATTCATATAGGGTATCATAATTTAAATTATATATTTAATGGGAATATCCTTAACAGTGTTCTACAAGAAAATGATCTTGTTATTCTGGCTACTCAGTCTGTTAAGCCATCCAAGCAGTGTGCTGTTGTTAGTGGTAGGGCAAGTAGGATTTTAGGTTATAACTACAGAAATATCGAATATAAATATAGAGATTGCAATTTCATTGCATTGATCACTGGTTAAGCAACATTAGGAGTATTGTGTTCAGACTTGGGTTCCTTACTTTAAGAAGGACATTGAACTGTTCATAGGAAGAATTCTGGGATGATACCTAACTATGATGGAAAAGTTATCAACAAGGGCAGTTTAAGATCTCTGAAATAATTTTCTCTTGAAAATGAAGTATTAGAGGGAACCTGATTCATGCATTTGATATTGTTAAGGGAATTCATAGTGTCAATCTCTCATCTGTCTTGTACTAATTAGTACGAATGATAGGACTAAGGGACACAAATATAAATTTTGACAGGCTAGGGTAGAAGTCATCTTCAGATAATACAGTTTTAATTGTCTAACAGGGAGAGTTGGTCCTTGGAATTGGCTGCTTTCAAATGTGATATATGAAGTAAACTTAAGAGAATATAAAGAAAGGCTTGATAGCTATTTGAATGATAAGGGCTGGCTTTGGTTTTCTTGTAAAAGTATATTTTATTTATGGATGGGATGGTCTAAATTAGACTAACAGCTTCTTTGTTGTCCTTAAAATTAAACACCATTATGTCATATGATATATAGAGTGTCCCACAAAATGTACACATTTTAATGTGGCCCAAAAAAGTACAAAATCTGGTGATCACCAAATAATTAATGCATTTGTTTAAAGACTAATGATGAAAGTTTATGTTCCCATAATCCCTTTTCACACCACATGTTTAATGTAGACTCCACATTTACCGATAACAGCCTGCATTCAGACTGCCATATTGTTCATCACTTCAGGGAATGTTTGTAGAGGGATGTTTTGAATCTCCCAGCAGATATTGTCCTTCAGCTCATTGATAGTCTAAGGCTGGGAGTTAGCACAAATTCTGTCTTTTGAATAATCCCATGAAGAGAAGTCTGGAGCTGACAAATCAGGTGAACATGGAGGCCATTCCACATCCTCATAAAGAGAAATAATTTGGTCTGTGTTTTTCATGAAAGTAATACCTTGTTTCCCTGGCTGTATGAGGAGTTGCCCAATCCTGCTGGAACCACTGTGTTCTCATGCAAATACCTCCATTTCTTCTCCAAGACTGTTTGCGTTGTTCAATTCCTCAAATATGTGATGATAATTAATAGTGACTTATTTCTCTTTGTGAAAATTTGGAATGGCTTCCATATTCACCTGATTTGTCATCACCAGACGTCTTTTTATGGGGTTATTGAAATACAGAATTTGTGCTAACTCCAAGCCTTGGACTATTAATGAGCTGAAGGACAATATCTGATTGGAACTTCAGAACATCCCCCAACAATCACTCTCTGAAGTGATGAACAATATGGCAGTCCAAATGCAGGCTGTTATTGGTAAATGTGGAGCCTCTGTTTAACATGTGGTGTCAAAAGGGATTATGGAAACATAAACTTTCATTAGTCTTTAAATAAATGTATTCATTATTTGGTAATCAACAGATTTATTTTTTTTGGCCAGGTTAAAATGTGTAAATCTTTTTGGGACACCCTATATAAGAAGTCTTTTACAGTTCTACATGGTTTAGGCATTGTTGAATCTTATTACAGTTTACAAGAATGTCAAACCTTTGCAACATATTACATTAACTCATTGATAATCAAAATCTTTACGATTAAAAGAAACTTAATTTTCTGAGGTCCGTGGAGTATGTACTGCATCCCACTTATGCAACAAACTTTGGTTTGAGTGAATTTTTACAAACTCACCTACAAATAAACTGTACCAGAACTTAACAGCCAGTGTTAACCCAATATTAAATCAGTTAACCTATCACAACTTAAATTTTATCTCATTCTCAGATAAACATGTTTTCTAGTTACAGCTCTAATATTGGTTTGGTAACACTGCATGAAGTGTAACTAGCATTCTTGGTTTGGATTTTGATGGACATAAAAATATAACTCACAGTTATATCCTTTACATATTCAACCATTTCCTGGTGAAATTTTGGTTTTCAAAGAAATAAACAACAAACTACGTGAATTAGAAAACAAAACTAGTTGTTTTTTTTACTTACTATGTAAGTGCCATTTTGTTCAAAAGACAATCTAAGTTGATGATATTTATTTTTCTGCTTTATCTGTGGGGTATTGTCAACATTTACCACTGACTCACAAGAATGAATGAGAACTGGAGTATTTTCAGATTCCTCTTCTGAAGTTGTAGCTACAGAGAATGAGTAAATAACATTCTTAAGAACTTTTTGGCTTTTATAGCATAATTTTTATCTTCAGTCTCACATTATAGATGTATACAAGCATCAACCTTTGGATTACTTATACCTGAAATTGAAAACATCTTCTACTGTAGTTAAACTATAATTTATTGGTAAAGCTACATTATGGTATAAATAGGTTCTCAGCAAGTTGATAATTAATGTTGAAGATTTGTATTGAAATAATGCTCCTCCACAACTGAATGTGTATGTAATATGAACATTACCTTTAAATGCTTTGTTCTTGCCACATCTCAGTAGTAGGCTTTACAAAGTATTGTATTAAGGCTTAAAATCTGCTTCAAATCAATCAAATGTGATTCCACAATAAGTAATGAAATCCGTAACTGTTCAAAGTTTGATAAATATAACAGAATTGCTGTTGTAATTAACAATTTCTGACTTCTATAAAATTTACATTGGATATTTAGCTTTTTTCATATGTCAGTGTATTTATTTGAATAATTGAAGCAATTATCATCAAGCTATGACATGACAGCTCTGTTATCAAACCAGAGGTGAAATTCTGCTGGTATTCACTGGTACTGAGTACTGGAACTTATTTTGTAAGGTGATACTAGTATCAGGATTTATTTGAGCTGTTTTGTCATTTTTTATGTTTACACTCAGATTTTTTTTCTTCTTTTTCAAAAACAGGTCCACTTCACTCAGCTAAGTACTTCTACTTTTTTTCTGAGAATTTCATCCCTGTATCAAACTATAATTTACAGCAGAACCTGATACTTTATATTTACTAATGTAGTTAGCTATATGTACAGTTACATAAGTGTCAAACGTTCCTTATACGTGCATATTCTCAACAAATCTATACACTTGTATTATTTTTGGTCCAAATTTCATGACCTAATTGAATTTTTCCTGGTTTCATTTCTTGTCTTTTACAACTGTATACATGTAAAAGTTGTGAGTGCATGAGTAAGTTGAACAAGTCTAGATAAATCTTCATCAGATTTCATTCTGAGCTATTTCCTCATTTGAAATTTATGAAAATTATATTCTGGTCTTTTACAATGAATATTGCAGATTTAAATATTTAAACCAAGCCAATCTTTAGTTATATACTAATAAACAATAAACTCATATATTATTATATTTTGTTTCATGTAGCTGTAACAATAATTCTGGGATTTTAAGACCTTCCTAAAGGCATTATGACAGAACTGTCTAAAACAAACATACTGCATTATCAAAATTCACCTTCAAAGCTCAAAGCAATTTTTAGTAATTTTTCTTTTATTCAATCCAAGTGAATGTCAAGTCTTGCATAACTGATAAATTAAGTAATGTGGCATATATGCTGTCAGTTAAAAACCAATTTACAAACAATATCAAATAGTATTATCTGCAATAACAGCAGAATATGACCAGGAAAAATTAGGAAACCTCTTATGATTTAAAGGTATTTGAACTGGGTGTTTGTTTAATGTGAAAATGAATAGGCTAAAATAAATGTGGAAAAACAAACAAAACTCTTTATACACAAAAAAAAAGAAACTCATTATGTGTATCCACATGTGATGACAGACAGCTCTCACTCCAAGTTATGCAACAGTTAGTCTGCAATCTTCCTTCTCAAAAGATAATTACCTCAACACTAAATGCTGAATGGATTCTAAAATATCTTAAAATCTTAAAATACTGAAATGATTAATGTTGTATAATACACAATTAAAATTTTATTTAAAACTTATCAATGGTCATAAAAACACTACATGTTTTGAAGTCATTCACTTCATCTTCAGGAAACATGCATCTTTTATGACTGTTGATCAGTTTTTTAAATAAAATTTGTATTTTAATTGTGTATTATACAACACTGATCGTTTGAGTATTTTAAATATTTAAAGAAGTTCCTTGAATTTTAACCTATTCCGAAAGATCTTCTCTCTGCAAAAACTGGGAATGAACAGATTCAAAGAAAGTGCCTAGATTCTAAACATCAACTTGCTTTCTTAGTCCAGCAGACAGCGTTATCTATTGATCCCTGTTCCCTGACAGCATTGGCCAGCTATCAAATTCAGTTGGTGTCATACTTTGGCCAGCAAAAGATATTCCATTTCTAACTAGTTTTAACCCAGCCTCAAAAGAAACTGAAATATTCTTGCAAGCAGAAGACACCATCCAACTAAAGAACAAAGAGTTGAGGTGGCTAGAACAAGATAATATTAGACATCTTGGACCATATGTTGCCACCATTACAGTGTTGAAACTAAATACAAAGAATTATATAATTGTAGATGGTAGAAGAACATAGTATGTCTGCATACCACACTGAGATGCAATTAATTGTCTGTCTTGCTTTGTCAATTTGTTTTTCTTAATTATGAAAACATTTTGTTGCAGTACTTTGAAGAATGTATTAGTTGTAATGCTGCTTTTTTCTACCTTTTACATTAAGTATAGATAATGATGTGTTTGCTTTGGTGACTTTCTAGTTTATATATATTATCAGGTAAGTTAGAAGTTATACAGGACCTGCAAAATACAAATATGCCACATACTTGCAGCTGGAGTTAGGGAATGACCTAAGATTTTTGGATTGAGCTCAATATCGTAGAACAAAAGCTTTTTTCTAAATGTAGTACAATTTCTTGTATGGAAATGTCCAGAAAAACCTGATTAGTGTATATGTAAATAAGATAAAGTTAAATACAATTCCACATAACTGTAGAAATACTGTTTAAAGTAACTTTCAGAAACCTCTTGCATATGTGTTTATGAATAAGATCTAAACAACCTAATAATATGGGTGTACACAGGGCTGGATTATGGTGCGTGGAGGCCCTGAGGCAAATATCCTTATGGAAGCCCTTTCAAATATAAGAAATAAATATATAAATGGAATATCGCAATATTAATAAATACTGTTAACAAAATATTTGTAGAGGCCCTGAAGGAGCTGCCTCATGGGTAATCCAGTACTGGGTGTGCATCTTTGACATGCTAATCCAAGGAAATAATACTTCCACATCACTTTCACTTATTGAATGATCACAATAACATCATCTTAATACACAACATAAGGTAATAATTATGCATGTGGGTATCTATGACTTTTACTCCTTAATAAATGCCACAATGACTGAAACATATTATGTTAGATATTATTATATACAGAGAACATTTAAAAATTGAATAAATCAAATAAAATAATGTAAAAGTTTTAGTGTTCACACTTTACCTTTACATATTTGATCATATGGTTATTATGAGCAAGTTGCACATAAACTTTTATGTTTTTTGTTCCTTTTTTATTTATCTTATTCTTTATAATTTCTTTTATTCAAATTTCTTTGCCTCTAATGGTCAAGAGAATGGCTACATGCATGGCAAGTTTAATTATAGATGTACTTTTACAATACATTAAAATTTCATAATTTAAGATGTTAATGTTTTTTACTAAATTTCCTGAAGATTATATAAAAGATCTATAATATATTTTCGACTGTCCATGACAAGCAATATTCGCAATATACATTAGTTTGAATCAACTAAAAAGTATTTTTTCTTTACAAATATAGGTAATAACTATGCCTTGTTGAACATAAGGAGAATGGAAATAAATGTTTAAGATTGTCAGGAAGAGCAAAAAAACAAGATAAAAATGTATCAAAGGATTGCTATTCATAATAAGCTATTCATTTGAGAGAAATCATATGGAAACTTCTGAGTTTTTAAAATCAAGACTGTATTTATCAATAATGCTTTAGTTTTGAGTAAAGAAAGGGCCTCCTTTTCAGATTCTTATGAGTACACAAGTCATTGGATGCTAGAGTTGCCACATGAACAGCTCTAAAATAAAGAACACTTTTGTTGGTGTTTGATAATTATCAGCATTTTCTTCAGGTCAGATTTGTTTTGTTTTGTTGTTACTCTGCTCACCATTATTTTTAGTGTTCTAAACCTTCAGGTTTACCACTGTGCTACCAAGGAGCTTTCAAGTCAGAAACATGATGTACCCAATAAAATAAGGACTATATCACCTCCTATTCATACAATTTTACTACTGAATAAGGAATGCATAGTTTCATAAAATACATAACAGGTGGCAGCCTTACTGAATACAAGCTTTGGAGTTTAACTTATCTATTATGAAATTAAATGACAGATATTCAAAGATTTAGTATTTTACAGTAAAAAATTCATTTAAGTAAAGTGCAGTGCTGAATTATGTTGAAAACAGCTGTTGTTACTTAGCCTATTTTATCTTTTACATTTAACACCAAACTTAGTACCTCTGAAAATGCCTAAATAAACTTAATCAAGAAAAAATTCAAAATAAGACAGAACATGCTAGAACTGTCACAAGTTAAAAGCAGTCAATTAAAGCTGGGACTAGTAGTAGATCATCAGATGTATTTAAATGTATCTGTGAACACAAAATAAGGTCTAGACATTGTAAAACTACTGAAGCCCTCTATCATGTCAGAAAATAATCGGTATCGGCGAGGGTAGTCAGACAGCTATACCCTCAGATTAAAGGCATGCAAAGCCCCAGATGCTCTCTAACTTTAAACATTTTGTGATGGAGAAGAATAGTGCTGTTTATTCAAACCTAATTCCCTGAAGCATTTTTTTTTAAAGAATGAATGCAAGTAGGGCATTTTTTAATAGATCTAAGTGCATAAAAATACATCCGTTGACTCATTGAACTATACAAAATATGAATTCAGTAACAGCAGAAATCATAAAATTCATTAACACCTATTCCACTATACATGTCATTCATGTGGTGGATCTGGATAACTGAAACTGTTTTCATCTATGGTAGAAACAGTATACCCTAAAAGTAAAAGCATGTGACCACACCAGTTGCTGAATTAGTTCATTTGATTTTATAGCACATTTAAGAGTCTGTGAGATGGACACCAAATGTATGAGAGTTGACACGTTTCAACGACAGTTGAAAGTGAGGCAGTAGTATAATAATGAAATTATTATAAACTAATAATATGTATAATGAAAACATATGGAGTATACATCTTATAGATACTAAGATAGACATATCATCATGTAAATGTTGTACGAAAATATGATACTTACGAGATACGAAATTAACTAGAGGAAAATAGAAAGCATAGACCCAATTTTTTTCCAATTTTAACACATGTCCCGTCATTCTTGCGTAGTATTCATAATTTTCTCGTCCAAAGAGGGTACTGACTCCAAAGTTGTCTATCATAAACGTCATTAATTGAGTGGCTAACTGAGAAGAAAAAATATTTGCATCATAAAATATAATCATAGATGTACTTTATAAAAAATCAACTGTATTCATTCTCTCTGTCTACAGTTTATGATGGGATTGAACTCAAGGTGGCATATTCAAATGATATTTTTTCCAGTTATTGGAAATTAACAATAATACAAGATACCTATAAAATAAACTTCGGAATAGTGCAAGCATATAGCGTGGTGATACATTTCCCTGTCTTTTCATTTCTTGATCAGACTCACTTGTACAATTTATGTTAATTGGAGAGTAGTAGAACTATGCAGCCATGTATATTTGTATAATGTCTTCCCTAAAAGAGATTCTTTATATTTTATGAGAATTGAATATATTAAAAACTAAGTCCCACTTTTCTACGCTGTATTTAAAGGGGAAACATTTTCACGTAAAGTTATAAACAGACAACTCTGGAAGAAGCTTCTACCAACGAAACGTTTAACAAAATCACTTAAGAATATTTAACATAATGTTACGACAGCGGAAGTCACGTGACACTAGTAACACGTCATTGACTTCTAGAAATATCCTGTCCCTTCCTGAATGCTCTAGCGTTTACTAGATATGCGGTAGTCTTGTATATATAAGACGGTCACAAAGTGAAGGCAACAATGTGTAATTGAACTGAGTATTGTTGAGTCGAGCACGTGAGACGTTTGTTGTGAATTATAGCGTTTGTTATAGTACGACTGTTGAAATTAAGTGTATCACAAAGTTGTATTCAGAAAGAATAAACCAGTTTTATTTAAGAAAGGACTTCTATCGGTAGAGTTTCTTCGGAAAGAATTTTTACAGAAAATTAACTAACTAACGGAGACGTAACAAATTGGTGTCAGAGAGTGGGAAAAACAAAAAAAAATGGAAACGAGAAGAAGTAAATCAAACTACAGCTTAGCAGACTTGATGGCAGCAAT